CAAGTTGGCTGCTAAGCAAGACAGGTAGCAGCGGCAAAAACACCCGGCGGGCCGCATGTGGCCCACAGGCCATAGTTTGAGGACGCCTGGTTTAAAAGGTCCCATTCCATCAGAGGAACCAAGGAATACCCTTGTGAGTCAGTCTTCAACTCCTGGAAGTCTTTTAAGTTCATGGGCAAATATCTTAGCAAGTTTAGTATGTGACAGCCCAACAGTGAAATAGATAAGACACAGTACAATGGTTCTAGGCATTTGGGGGGGGGAAGGCACATTATACAGAGTCCCCAGGAGAAAATGCAGGCATTCTCCATCTTCCCGATAAGCATTTTCCCACCCTTCAGTGACTTTTAATCTTATCCCTGGGTCTATGAGAAACCATAATCCACATGCTACTGAATACATTTTTATTTTCCCTTCATGAGATAGACTTGGTTCCAAGCATGTTTCATTTTCCTCCCTTATGCCTACGAGACATCCAATTTTGTTCAGGTCCCTTTTAATGGCACTTAATAAATATACATTCTGGGACCTGACAGAACAGGCTGTTCCATTTCAAACAGCCTCTGAAGCTGCCTGTTTGAAACAGCTAGTGCAAAGCTCTGCTAGGCACATCCTAGCTGATAGTTCATGGCCGTCTCTGACCCCAGCTCCATCTGTCCACCACTGTGTGTCTGGGGCAGAGGTCCTCAACCACCCTCACTACACTTTAGAAGAACCTGGGGAACTTTCTGAATTTCTAAGGTCCGAGCCAGATCCCAGACCAATTTCATCAGAATCTCTGGGTAGGAGGGACCCTGGGTTCTGCCATAGTTGAAAGCTGCCCTAGTAACTGCAGGGGGTGGCCATGCTGAGAGCCCCTGAGCTGGAGTTCCTGCGCACAACAGGCTCTCAGCAAGCATCTGTGGAACCCACAAGTGGATTTCCTATTTTATTATGTCTTCCGCTATGCTTATTTTTATCAGAAATCTGAGCAGGAAAGAAAAAGGAAATGAGTCAAGAGCATCCTATAAAATGAATTTGATGCTGAGAAGGGGATTGTGGAGCCAGTTTCTCTCGCATTATGCAGTCTTCATGCTCTAACAAGCCCAGAGGAGGCGAGTTATAGACTGTCTGACACAGACATGTATGTATTTCTTAAGAACTCTTCAAAAACCAGAGCTCGCAGCTTCGGGCACTATACTTATTAGCATGGAGATGATCTAGGAAGTAAATCTAAACTGCCCCCTGCTTTATATACACTCTAACTTGGGTTGGGTTCCCTTCTGTGAGTCCCACAATTTACAGTTTATCTCTGTCCAAATCAACAGCCTAAAGACGCAGCCACTGCACCCACGGCTGCCCCATTGGGTTAGTCTTTCTTGAAAACAGGAACAGTTTTTGAAGGGCTCCAATTTCCAGGTTCTGGAAAGGGATGATTCACTTACTGAGTGTCAGAGACTGGTTATCTAGAAAGCAGTGCTGAGGAGGATCTCTGAGGTAGGTCCTGGGTTATAGGAAAGGATGCCATGGGCCCGGTCGGGGGTGGCCACACGACGCTTCTGCTTGCCAGTCCTGCCAGCTGATGGCTGGGGCATCCTCGGACACGGACAGCATCTACATTTGCATCACACGTCACAGTTTACAAGGAGCTTCCACATCAGTCCCACCACGACCTGCGAGGTAGGCCTTTCTGGATGGGAAAACTGAGGTTGTGCCCTGTGTCTAAGGTCTCACAGCCAACTGGCATCTCACTTACCACTGCCTCCAAGCCCTCAGAGGCACCCTGAAGTCACTGGGGGTGCCCCCTGGCTCTCCTTCTGTTCAGAAACAGGAAACCAACCCATTGCCTAACCTCCCCACCCACCAGGCCTTCACCTACTTCACAATTTCCCCTACATTTGCATACCCCTTTGTCCCTGGGTCCAGAGAGAATAGCAGCAGTATACAACTCCTGCCAAGAGCCTCACACACCCTACTTAACACTCATCAATCCCCTGTTCCCTGGAACAGCCTCTGGATTTGCCTACACATATTCCAGAACTGTGACTTGGTCACACCCACTCCCAGGCCCAGTCAACAGTCTGCTGGGAACCTCTCCAGCGCACTGACAAACCCATGGCTTCCCTGCTGGAGGGCTTCCGTGGTTCACCGCCCAGGATAACTCAGCTCTGAGCCTGCAGAATTGAAAGATGACTGGTCAGCACCCGGGTCTTCTGACACCACGTGTAGGGAGCGACTTTCCAGGCCAGGCAGTCTGGACCTCCTTGCACCTCTGTCTGTAGCCATACTGCATACAGCCAGCATTCACCTGGCGGCCCACTGTCACAGGCAGGCCCAGATGAAGGCACAGTAAGACTGGCCATAGCAGTGGCCTGTAGTCCAGGCTGTTGTGACCTGGGTTGGAATGACTTGTTTATGCAGACACAATGAGCAGTTTTGGCTGGAGCCGTCTGTGCCCACCCATACCAAGCACTCTGCTAGTCCCACCCACCTCTCTGGCTGCCTTCTGGGTGCCTTTCACCCACCCTGGCCCAATCTTCCCTTCCACCCCCACCTTTCTTTGCTTCTTTTCCTTCCAGGGGTCACAACCTCTAAGCACCCCCCATCCCTTGGCAACATAGGCTCTAAGGAGGGCACCCTAAGTTGGCAGGCTCCAGCCCCACGGAGCTGGGCTTGGGGCTCTGGCCAAGAAGCCAGAAGGCACGTATCCCCTCCATCCATTCACTTCCACCAGGCTCCATTCCGGGTTCCCCTTCTTGTCCTGGGCCTCCAGAACAGTCACAGGCTGGCCTGCTTCTAGGCTCACTTCATGGCTGCTTCTGGCCACAAAGGGGTACGCTGCTACCACCTGAAACACACGGGGATGACACAGAAACAGTCAGGGTGAGAGGACAGACCAACTCAATCCAGAGAGGCTGCCTGTCCGGTTCCTATCCGCACTGCGGGGGATTCATCACTTGCAAGTACATCCTTTGTGCTAAAGACAATGACTACATCTGCCAGTGCCACACTAATACTCACCACGGGACTGGCACTTTACTGGGTTTTGATTTTCACAACAATGATATCATTTTATTTGCCTTATTTTTCAGTTAAGGAAATCGAGGATCAGAGATGTTAAGGAACTTATTTAAAAATCACACAGCAGGGAAGCTAGGCTTGTCTGACATCAGAACAGGTGCAGACTCAGCACCTCACCCCTCTCCAGATTCAGGGTTTCATCTGCCTAGGCCAGTTTCCCATCTGGGGGAGAAATAAGAGTTTGGATGACTTGGTCACTTTTTTAGAGACAAGCATTGAACTGGAAAAGAAAATGGAGGGGAGAGCAAAATGGAAGTCATGCTATCCTCCTCTCTGGGTCACTGAGGGAAATTAATGCATGAATGTGTATACAGGGCTTTCCATAGTGCCTGGTATTTGGTAAGGGCCCCATAAATGCAGGCTGCCGAGTGCTTTTTTTCTTCTAACCATTACTGTTAGTACTGACGGCCAAGCCTTAGGAACATTACGCAGCATGACAGGATCAGACAGCCCCCATGTGAGTCCCACAGAGTAGCCCAGGAACAAATAGGAAGCAGCTGATATGTTTGGGCAGATAAAAAGCTGGACTCAGATAATTACCTGAGCCCTGAGTGGGGCTTCCCCTAGACCTCACCCACATTCACCAGACTGGGTGGCAGGGGCAACCTCATTTCCTTCCCCAGAGGGACTAGTTGGGCCATTAGGCCTTCTAGTGGGGCCTCTGCAAGTCTTTTGCAGCCCCTGGCTAATGCTAGAGGATGCTGGCCCCAGAGCCTTCCCAGTGGGTGTAGCACAAGCTAGACACCAGGCATCTGCAGACATCTCTCGTGCTGCCCGCTGCAGGTTCCCCCAGCACCCTGGCCTGAGACATCCGTGTCTCTTCACGGAGAGCCCTCTCTGTTGGACCCCTTCTGTTGCTCACACCTCTCCTGTGAAGCTCCCCCTTGACTGCCGATGGAAGCTGTGAGCGCAACCCCCACATGGAGGCTCACAATACATCCCCTGCTTTTCTGTTTCATCCAGTCCTCATTACGACCCCACTGAGCTTCCTCCCTGCTCTTCTTCCCCTGCCCTCTCCTGTCTCTGGGCCTGCACATGGGCTCTGCACCCCCATACAGCCCCTTCATCCAGTTAATTCCTTCTCACCTTTCCTAGCTGAGAAAAAGGATTGTTCTTCTCAGCACAAGTTTTCCTGCACCTCTCCATATCTAGGGCTCTGGTACCTATCTCTGCTACAAACTTTACAGTTATGCATGAAGTTGTTTGGTTAAACACTGTTTTCCCCGCCCCACATTATAATTCCAAGGAAGGCAAAAACTTACTTTTGTTCATCCTTGTATCTCTTATCTAGCACAGTGCCTGGCAAATGCTGAATGAATACATGAATGAATGGATGACTCAATCCCGCTTGCCCTTCTGATGGGAACTAAGGGGTTAGCCCTCTGGGGCTGCTGTGAAGGGTGGGAGACCCCTTTCTCGGGCCCTATGCCTGGCCAGGACACTAGCATTGACACTGACCAAAGCTCCAGCCTCATAGGGTGGTGACCCCTCCAGGTAGGAAGAACATAGACATTGACATAGAAGAAAAACCCAAGCCCCAGTCTGGATGGCTAAGAGAAGGCAAGCCCCTATCCCCCTCCCAGACTCACCTGGGTTATGGTGGGGGCAGAGGACCCTGGGGCCTGGGTGGGCTCTGGTGTTAGATGTCGTGAGTTCTTGTGTGGCTTCACCTACCCTCTGGGGTCCTCACTGGGGACCACTTGGTATGGCTGCAGTTTCCTAGCTGGTACATATCCGCAATTACCTAGGGGACACGTATGGTTATTGGCCATGGGCCACCTTCCCATCTCTTTTGGTGGTGGAGAAGGTCAGTAGATGTGAATGCCTCCAACATAGCTTCTCAGCACCAAAGAGGACTGAAAAGGTCATCTAGGAGCCCCACCCCCTGCTCCTGCACTCACTGTTTCTAGCTTCTGCATGCCCACCCTCAGTGGCCCCTCAATCCTTACATGGCAGCCCACTCCATCTGATCAGCTCTGATAGAGATAAAATGTTTATCCTTGGACAGGCATGAAAACTGCCTTCTTGGTGCTGGCATCGCTGGTGCTGGCCACCACGTCCCTCTGGTGGCCACCCAGAGCAAAACTGCTTCCTCTCTCCAGCACTGCCCTTCCCAGGAGGCAGAGATCATCTTCCTCCTCTCCAGGCAGCCCCAGTTCCTTCTCCTGTCCTCAGGAATGGCTGTCACTACTTGAGGGCTCCCTAGGTGCCAGAACTGGCACTTGATTAACTAGCCGTCACATCAACCTGTGAAGCCGGTTGGTGTTATCTCCATTTTACATTGAGCCAGCCATGCTCAGAGGAGCTCCCTGAATGCCCAAGATCACACAGTCAGTAAGGTGGTGGAGTTGGAATCCAAACTCCTGGGCCTTGCTTGATACCCATTCCATCGTTCCCAGCTTAAGCTGTGAAAGTGCTATTTCGTGATTTCTGTCTGATTTGTACCACTTTCTTAATTTTTTAAATTGACTCACTTTTTAAAAGTTGGCCTTGTGCTATACAATAATATGATTATAATCATGGACTTGTGGACTAGTTATATTTTTTTCTAAGACATGTTAAAATACTTAAGTAACAGTTATCATAAACTGTCTTCAGGGGGGAAACCTGTCTGTGGATCCCATCATAGTAATCCAGCACAACCCTCATCTGGAGGCCACATGACCCTCTTTGGAAGCTGCTCCTCTGGGCCATCTTGTCTTGGGCTTTTGGTGCCACCAGCCTGCAGCTCAGTTATGCTGGGACACGCAGACCTGAGCAGCACACTGTAAGGCCACAACCAGTGCAGAGGAGGCAGGATAAGCATCTCCCTCACTGGGGACCCCAGAGTCTGTCATGTAGCTGGAATCCAAACATCCCTTCTCTGTGCATTTCTCTCTTTTGCAGATGGGTTCTCTCCATCTAGCTCGGTCCACCCCAAAAGCCTGGGAGGGCCCTGGGACAGGTCCTCATTTAATGCAGATGGCACACAGTAGGTGCTCGCTGATGGACCTCACCAGAAAGACTGAAGGCTTCCTGCTGGCATTTATGCGTTGCTGAGTCACCCTGCGCTCACTATGTCCTGAGGCCTGCATTTGTCACTGGTGGTCATTTCCATCTAGATTCACACAGCTGAATTTTGGCCCACAAGGGTGCCCATGTTTCCCCACTGGCTTCTATAGGGTGGCTTTCCCAAAGGGAGAAAAAGGGCCCGCATACCTCCGGTGTCCACCAGCCAGCGGCCACTGTTGCCTTTGGTGTCCTTGTTTTGAAGAAGGGCCACAATTTGGCCCCGCAGGAGTGTCAGGTCCAGAGTCCCAGCCCTGCTGATGTTGCTTGTCACCTGATACAGCTTCTCAGTGCCGTACTTAGTCAGGAGAGCCTGCACCTGGTGTTCAGACCCTGGAAGGAGTGGCTGGGGAGAGGAGGGACAGAGGCAGACACAGGTGCTTGCATAAACATGCTGAACAAAGCCCACAAACTGAGAGCCGGGGACACAGGGTCTGATCTCACCCCCACCACCGAAGGGCCCTTCCTGGTAGGGCAACTGTGCCCTCGCTAGTAGGTGGCTGGCTCTTAGTATCCAATGGCATTTCAGAAGAAACTTTTAATTTCTGGGATTCTCTAAAATTCTAATTTATTTAAGGTCTGAAATTTCTCAGTTATAGAACCCCCAGAATTGAGTCCTAACATCTGCCCATACATCAAGTTAAAGTATCCCACAGAAAAGTGCCTTGTGGAGGTCTTTCCAGCCAGTTAGACTGTGAGCCTCATGAGGGCACCAGCCCTATTCAAATGGCATCTTAAAAATTCAGCCCAGGGCTGGAATGAGGAATGTTATCTTTCATTCCATAAATTTTTAGTCCGCATGTATTTATGGAGTGCCTACCATATACAAGGCGCTGCGGTTAGCCTGTGAATAGTGTAGCAGGAACATAGGAGAGAGTTTTGCAGATAGAAATTGCTATCGAGCTAGAGAGAATAATTTGCAGATGGGTTCATCCAAAAATCTCCTGGCATTTCCTGTTTTCTATTCCATAATAGTGCTTCTAGCAAAAGTAGCAATAAGAAAAAATGCAGGGGATGATTGTTCTCTTTTTAAAGCCAATGACAAACTAAGTATGTTAGGGGCATCTGGGCACAGACTCTGTCACATTCCTATCCCAGTGGAGATAACAGAGTCAGGATTAAGAACCAGGAGAGCTCCATGATTGGTTTATTTATTTATTTATTCATTTATTTTTGCGGTGTTTTGGCCAGGGCTAGGTTTGAACCCACCACCTCTGGCATATGGAGCTGGTGCCCTACTCCTTTGAGCCACAGGTGCCGCCCGGTTGGTTTATTTTTTGAGACAGAGTCTGACTCTGTCACCCAGGCTAGAGTGCAGTGGCATTAGCCTAGCTCACAACAGCCTCAAACTCCTGGGCTCAAGTGATCCTCCTGCCTCAGCTTCCCAAGTAGCTGGGACTATAGGCACCTACCACAATGCCTGGCTAATTTTTCTATTTTCAGTAGAGAGGGTTCTCGCTCTTGCTCAGGCTGGTCTCCAGCTCCTGACGTCAAGAGATCCTCCTGCTTAGGCCTCCCAGAGTGCTAGGATCATAGGCGTGAGCCACCCACACTGTCTGCCCTCCAGGCCCATGTTTCTATCAAGTCCTTAAAGGGAAGTATACAGACTGGGTAGGTTTTTTTCCGGAATAGTGGTGCTGAATTCATTTCTTTCAGAACAATGGTGTAGCCAACACTGGCCTTCCTCCTCAAGCCTGACCAGCCCCACCCATGTGGGGAACAGCAGCCCCCAGAGAGGGCATGTGACATTCCTGTCCTGGAGGCCACCTTTGCTGGATTCTATGTAATCTCAGCCAGATATGTCAGGAATTCAAAGGTTTGTATGTATGTGGAGGGCTGGGAGGGTGGGAAAGGAGCGTCTTCCTACTCGTAGGCAACATAACTGGGATTATGGATGTTTCCATTTGTTTCTTCCTTCTTGTCTTTCTGTGTCTTCTAACTATAGTGAGTATGCACTGTTTTCACAATGTTAAAAAAATCCTATCTTAATTTGTCTTAAGTAGATTGAGAGGAGGTTCCCATGATGTATTTAAGAAACTTTTTTCTTTATTGTCTGCACCGCTCTTTCCCTGAGTCACAGGACCCACAGCACACCCCCGGGAGACCTCTGCTGGGCGCAGCTCTCAGTGTGGCGTAGGAGGGTAGGGACAGCTATAACCCACTGTGGTGGACATTGCCCTTAATAGTCCTTGACATTTTCCACACTTTGGCCAGGTGCGAAGGCCACTTGTATCTGCCCTGCTCTGCTGGGCTCCTTCTTATTTCTCTGCATCCTGGGGGCCCCTTCTCCCCCTGGGAAATACCGCGGCTATCTCCTCACCCTTCACTTCACATTTTGAATGTGGTGGACACACATTTTCAGTTTTTTCAAATCCGGGTCTTATCAGAGTCTGGGAGTCCCTTCTCCCTTCAGCTGCTTCAGTTACTTTTAAAACAGATTACACTTACTCTGCAAGTGATTGGAAGAGACCCTTTGCAGGGTATCCATTATCTCCAGAAGAGAATACATTTTTTATAATTAAAAAAAAATTTAGAGATAGTCTCATTCTGTCACCCAGGCGGGAATCCAGTGGCATCATCATAGCTCACTGTAACCTTAAGCTCCTGGGCTCAAGCGATCCTTTTGCCTCAACATCACAAAGTGCTGAGATTACTGGGATTATAGGATGAGACACTGCACTCACCCTAGAGGAAAATACTGAACCCCTCCCCCAAAAAAAACAAGCATTTAGGCAGCCAGAGCTTTGTAAAACATCACACAGCTGAAACACTGTCTTTTGCGATTAAAAATCACCATAGCAAAAAAGAAATTTAAATGACTTCTTATTGTCTTATGACAATACTGGTATTGTCTAATTTCACTTAATATTAAAATTGTTGGGAGCCAAGTAGAGTGGCTCATGCCTGTAATTCCAGCACTTTGGGAGGACAAGACATGAGGATCACTTGAGGCCAGGACTTTGAGACCAACCTGGGCAGTATAGCAAGACCCCTACCTCTACAAACATCTTTAAACTAGTCAGGCATGGCAGCCTGTGTCTCCAGTCCCAACTACTTGGGAGGCTGAAGCAGGACTGCTTGAGCCCAGAAGCTAGAGGTTGCAGTGAATTATGATCACGCTACTGCTCTCTAGCCTCAGTGACAGTGAGACTCTGTTAAAAAGAGAGAAAGAGAAAGAAGGAAGGGAAGGGAAGGGAAGGGAAGGGAAGGGAAGGGAAGGAAATGGAATGGAGGAAGTTTGGGTTTTCTTATTCTTGACCCAAGAGTTCTGTGCTGCTCTTCTGCATATTGGCCATGAGGAACAAGTATGTATGTGGGTTTATGTTCCCCTACTCTTCCAGTCTCTCATAGAGAGAAGGGAGAGAGAGGAAGAGAAAATATTTCCATGGATAACAAAAATTGTTAGGGAAAGGAAAAGCAAAGGAAAGATGGAACCTCACCCACTGGCAGATAAAGAAATGGACAGTCTCTGGCGGGGAGGGAGGGACACTTACTTGCATCATGGGAGGTGGTGGCACTCTCTCAAAGGTCTCTTGAAAGGAGCGGAGCTGGTTACTGGTCTCGCCTAGTGAGTCCTCCATCAGCTTCCTGAAGGCTGGCTCGGAGAAGTGGTGGTGGGGCAGCTGGGTGGTGACAGGCACTGTCAAGAGACAGTGGGAGAAAGGGGAGACCTGGTCTCCCACACTCTAGCCCTTGGTGTGTTAAAATGCACCTTTTTGTTACAATCAGCCATTGCTTTGTCTGCCTCCCGGCCCACTTTCCTTTAGGAAACTGGCCCTCTGCAAGGGTCCAGTAGCATTGTCCATCATGATGCTAGAGCCATATGACTGGTGGTCAGGGCATCCCTCTCTCCCATCTATGGTGGCTGGTCCAAGGGATAGACCAGTTGGAATCCTCCCACCAGATTTAGTATGTGAAGGCTGGGAAGTAGAGGGTCTCTCTTCCTTTGGCTTATGGGTCTCTCTTCCTTTGGCTTAGAGCTGTCGATAGTCATCTTTCCCACCATGCAGAGAAAAGCCTGCCTGAGAAGACAGCCAACCCAAAGCAGGAAACAGAGCCAGGAGATGGAGTGCAAACCAGAACCTGGACAGCAGTCTTGGCCCCAAATGTAGCCAAGCCTGAGGCTTGAGCCCCTCCTGGGCCTCCCAGTTACATGAGTCAATAAAGTTTTCTCTATGCTCGAGCTGGCTTGGTTTGGGTTTATGTTATTTGCAAACTAAGGAGTTCTGAGCAATAATCTGTCCTGAGGCTTTGACCCTGTTAAGGATTTACAGGGTCATCAGACAACCTAGGAGTGAGTGAAACTCCACAGCTAACAGAGACGTGTCATCTCTACTTGTCACCAAACTCACTGCTCTTGGTTCTGACCTACAGCCTCACCCCACCGCTGCTGCAGGATGCACAGAGATTGAGGTTTCTGTCATACAGGCCTTCCCCAGGCTCCACAGCGATAGGCAGGATACAGGGACAGTGTACCACAGGACACAGAGAAAGCAGGCAGACAATTGTCACTGACAGGTCCTGACAGCCCATAGCATAGGAACAACCATAACCCCCCCCCCACCTTCTGCTCTTCTAAACTTGACTGCCCACCCTTTACTGGCTTCCCAAATTGCTCCCTAGCCTTGCACAACCCAGCCTAAATGCAAGGGGGTCAGGCAGTCTGAAAGAGAAAACCAGAGGGCCAGAGGAGAGAGAAAAGGTCACCTAATCAGATTTACTTTCCAGGCTTCAGGAAAAGAGAAACCCTTCTTCTTGTAGAGAGCTCAGGCCTAACCAACTCAAAGAGAGTATCTGAGTCAGAACTCTGTACTGCAAGAGTCAAATGCTGCAAGAATCAAAAAGAAGAGCCACTGTCCCAGCCCTTCTGGCTGAGGAGAAACACCATCCTGGACCCTGCAGCAGAAGTCCATCCTCAGGGCTGCTGGGGAAGTGAGGGTGCAGGGATGGAGTCTCCCACCAGGGGACTGGTGAGAGGAGGAGGATGGAGTCTCCCACCCAGGTGACTGGGAATTCTGAGAGCTTTGTCGAGGGACTCATCCATCTGGCTTCTATTTGGGAAGCTCCTACTACACACCAGACGCCATGAAAGGTCTGGAGAATGAGAGGGGCATTCCAGGCCAAGGAAGGAGTCCATGCAAAGGGAACGTGACAGGC